ATGGGATAAAAAATGAAGATTCTTATATTTAACAGTTTTTATATGTCCCTTTTTTTATCCATTTAAAGAGTACTATTGTATAAACTGTAAGGTTGGCTATTCAAGCTCACCAGCCATTCATCAGAAACACTATGCAGGGTCAATATAGGTTGGAATCTACTGGACAGCATTTAACACCGCCACCAACAACATCACCAGATGGAATATTCCTGGTGTGGCGCTGTAGGATAAGCAATGGACTGTGATCCACAAGGTCAGCTGTTCAAATCTACCAGCTGCTCCTCGGAAACCCTATGTTGTTGTTATTAAGTGCCATTGAGTCAGTTCTGACTCATAGCAACCATGTATAGTAGGGTTTCCAAGGAACAGCTGGTGAGCTTGAAATGCAGACTTTGTGGTTCAAACTGACCTTGCAGTCCAGCACATTAGCCCACAGCGCCACCCTAGGACTCCGAGAAATCCTATACAGGGTTGCTGTGAGTCGGAACCAACTCGATGACACTTAACAGCAACAGCATCACCAGGTGGAGGCAAAGGTGTTATTTATTTAGTGAACATCCGTTTTGGGATCATAGAAGCCCTGGGTCTCCAATCTAAGAGATTTGTACTAAAAATCTCTTTAGTAGAAAAACTACACTTAAATCATGTGCTTTCAACCATATTATACTTTTAGCCATAACGCAAATTATACTTTTAGCCATAAAGCAAATACAATGCCTACAAATGATTTCCACCAACTCATTCTAAATCTTACCTGGTACCAGAATGTTCTCAACAGTTGATTCCCAGTGCTCAGGCTGTGTGAACGTCAACATCCATATTAATTTTTCTCTCCATTGCTTTTGACTATTTCCCCTAGAATATATTTTCTCTCCCTCCTTTTTTCTTGTGTTCTCTGATCTTATAAAGAGATAGATTTTCTACCAGTTCTACTAGATCTACCTGTGTAGTGCTTCTGTCCCAGAGGTCTCTGCCCCCGAGGCAAACTAACATCTTAGTGTTTTGGAAGCTGTAAAAAAAAAGGCATGCCCAAGATGTAGCTTCCAAGGATTCCCAAGAGAAGCAAAGCATTTTCTCAACATTTACTTTCTGGCTAACGACCCTTTTGTAGTGTTCTTATGAAATAATATGGCTATAGAGCCCATCCACACATACTGGGCTCCTCAGAAATGATATTAGATCCTAAGTGTAAGGGAACAATATCCTTCAAAGTACAACGAAGTCTCAGCTATACATAAAATCTTCCTTTCCTTCTCCCTTTCCATTTACTCTTTTTTCTTCCCCACTAACTTCCCATCTTTTTCCATTTTTAAATTTCTTCCTAATTGTTTTAATGAATTTAGGAGACACAGGAGGAATAAACAGTTCAAAACTTACCCCTGGAAAGGTGGACTTCTGCCTGGGTACAGAGGAGCTGCATTTGCCAACGCCTCCTGACCTTTCTCAGGAACACTTCAGAGTTTTCAGTTCAGTGGAAAAGAGCAAACTTCCGTCTTCACAACTTGGACTTGTGATTTCTTCCTATTACAAAACTATTGGTAAGGTTTATTGATTAGATGTTCATTTACTTGGTTTTTAACTGCTTATTAAGATGTAGTTCAGACACCACACAATTTAATTAATCCAATTAAGGTGGCCAATTGATTGTTTTTTTCCTCTGTTCACTGTTATGTGCAATCATCATAACAGTCCATTTTAAGACATCTTCAAAGTGTATTAATCATTTGCAAGGTGATCTGCATTAACATAGGGATGGCAGTTGGGCCTGAAATGTTAGCTCTAAAAAGAGGATGAAAAAACTCCAAAATCCACTGCCATCGAGTAGATTCTGTGACTGTAAATCTTTACTGGAACATGCAGCCTCATCTTTCACCCATGGAGCCTCTGGTGGGTTTGAACTGCCAACCTTGTGGTTAGCAGTCTAGTGCTTAACCTATAGTACCACTGTTGTTGTTAAGTGTTGTTGAGTTGCTTCCATCTCATAGTGACCCTGTATAGGGTTTCCAAGAAAAGGCTGGCTCCTAAAAGTAGGATGAAAGAGCTTGAAAACAGATTCCATTTAGACTCTTATAGGCAATGATATGAACCAAGAGGCAGTTTGTCAAACAGAACCTGGGAACACAATGGTTTAAAATTAAGAAAGCTGTGTGACAGGGTTGTATCCTTTCACCATACTTATTCAACTTGTATGCTGAGCAAATAATCTGAGAAGCTGGGTTATATGAAGAAAAACATGGCCTCAGGATTGGAGGAAGACTCATTAACACCCTGCGATATGCAGATGATACAACCTTGCTTGCTGAAAGTGAAGAAGATTTAAAATACTTACTGATGAAGATCAAAGACCACAACTTTCAGTATGGATTGCATCTAAATGTAAAGAAAACAAAAATCCTTACCACTGGACCAATAAACAACATTCTGATCAAAGGAGATAAGATTGAACTTGTCAAGGACTTCATTCTTCTTGGATCAACTATCAATACTCATGGAAGCAGCAGTCAAAAAATCAAATGACCTATTGCATTAGGCAAATCTGCTGCACAAGACCTTTTTGAAGTGTTGAAGAGCAAAGATGTCAGCTTGAGGACTAAGGTGTGCCTGACCCAGTCCATAGTATTTTCAGTAACCTCATATGCATGTGAAATCTATACAGTGAATAAGGAAGACTGTAGAAGAATTGATGCTTTTGAGTTACGGTGTTGAAGGAGAATACTGAAAGTGCCATGGGCTGCCAAAAGAGCCAACAGATCTGTGTTGGAAGCAGTGCAGCCAGAATGGTCCTTGGAGGCCAAGATGGCAAAACTTTGTCTCTCATACTTCAAACATATTGTCAGGAGAGACCAGTCACTGGAGAAGGATATCTTGTTTGGTAAGGTAGAGGGTCAGAGAAAAAGAGGAAGACCCCCAGTGAGAAGAATTGGAAATATGACAGCATGAATGGGCTCAAGTGTGGCAAAAATTGTGAGGTTGGCCCAGGACTGGGCAGTATTTTGTTCTGTTGTGCATAGGATTGCTATGAGTCTGTACTGACTCGATAGCACCTAACAACAACTATGTTGAAGTGTAGAGTCCTGGTATGTCACTGTGGGTTAATGTGTTGGACTGAAAAGCCAGTTTGAATTGCAAGGTCAGTGGTTCAAGTTCACCAGCTTCTCCTTGGAAACCCTATACAGGGTCACTGTGGGTCGGAACAGTCTCGACAGCACTTAACAACAACAACAAATGTTGACGTGTAAGTCATTTAAAGGTTTCTATTAGCTTTCAGTTTGTATTAAAGAAGAATGCATTTTAAAATATTCTTGAAATTATAAGAAAATATTTTGCAGAAGCTGACATTTGTTATTTTACTTGATTAACAATACAGATGTTCTCCAAGCCAGCAATCAAAGAAGTCTGAAAGTCCAGGCACTACATGAACTTGGAAATGTACTCATCTTTGCAGAAAAGAAAAGGTAGTTTCTTTAGGGGTTGGTAAACCAATGGCAAACTTCTTTTGCTTGAATCATTTTTTAATTACTTTGGGAAAATGTTCTCAATCATAAATTTTAGATATCCAATAGTACTATAGTGTAGTAAAAAACGTACATTAAAACTGTCATTCATGAGAAATGAATGCTGTTGATTTAGTCTCAACATTTTTATTAAAATGTTTCTTCAGTGTATGTCTTTTGCCTTGTGGATGGTAGATTTAATGGCATCAACTTTAATGCTCTGTTTCTGTTTTAGGGCTGCTTTGAAGTGTTGGTGCCAGGCTCTCGATGACATCTTCAGGAAATCAGACGTGCTACATACATGGAAAGAGTTTGGCACTTCACTTACTAATACCAATGACAGCTTTTCTCCTCCAGGTTTTAAAGATTACAGTGAGGAGTTTCTGTCAACAGTTGGCATTTGGGGATGTTTGCAAGGAGCAGTCATATCAGCAAAGATAGCGCAGTGAGTGTGATGTGGAGCAGCATGCTGCAGAACGTAACAGTCTTCCTTTGTGGGGCACCTACCTGGACACTTCATAAAATGAAGACATGAGTACAGGAATATACTGTGCACTTATTTATCATGTTTATTCTTGTGACGCTCTCCCTTCCTGTAACACCTCCAATCTCCTAGTGAATATCATGTGGGCCTAGGTCTTTACTTTGTTCACTCATGTATCCCAAGTGCCTGGCACAGAGATGGTATTTAGTAACTGTTTGTTTAACACATGAATGAATGGATGAGTAAATGAATGAATGGCTGAATGAATGAGCAGGTGGTAGGAGAGTAAGAATAACAGTGTGGAGGTACACTGCCTGGCACCTAATTCAAGAACCTTGATATGAGCCTTTTATATTAGCTTTTTCATATTAAAAACATGAATACATTTATATACTTTAAAAGTATTAAACATTAAAAAATTTAAACCTCTGCCAATTTTGATGTTTTTTTCATTCCCGGGGAGAAACTCATCCGTAAATACACATTCACCACGAGTTTGAGCTTATGACCTAGTAGAATTCATCAGGAAAGAATAGAAAAGTTCACAGCTTGGAAAAAAACAGCTGTAGCATCTCTGCCAGAGGGCACCGCAGCTTTGCTGAGCCTCTGAAGTTATTATGTGGTGATTTTTAGCCAACAGAAGGTCTCTTCCTGGTTACCCAGCTGGAAGTCTGACTTCCACAGGATGTGTGTTTCTACAGAGGCTTCCAGCTGTCCTGTAGACTCCTTCAGTAGAAGGAACTCTTCTCCCCACTGCTCACAAGGACAGAATATTACACTCTGATATCCACAAAGAGAAGCTGACTGCAGGAAGACAATGCTATTTTTATTGCAAAGCCTCCTGATTGGAGCTAAGTAAGAAAAGAAATGGTAAGGTAATGTGGGTTATGCATGCAAATGCAGGTTTCAAGACCCTTATATAGCAAATTTAAATCATTTTAAGGCACATAAACATGATACTAGTAAATGGAGAGACATTCTCATGATTTTTGATGGAGAGACATGTTGTGCATGTCTCCATAATGCTGATGAGAAAATACATGGATTCTGTCTTTGTGGGGAATTATTTGATAATATTTATCAAACTTCTTACCAAAAATTCCACTAATGAGGTTTATGCAGTAGGACTAATTGCACAAGTGATCCAAAATCTAGCTATAACAATGTTTACTTCTTAACTGGAAACACACAAACTGGAGTTAATAATTTTATATTATCATACATCCATATGATAAAATTTAAAAGTCCTTTATAATTTATTATATCCATGAATAAAACAGTATGTGGTATATAGTTTTAGTCTTAACATGTGTGTATATGTGTGTACATGTGTTTGTGAATGTGTATAAACTACAGATAGAAAAAAGATTCTCAAAGGGAATTGATCAAAACATTGCCAATAACCATCTTTACCTGGCAGGATTACAGGTGACTTTTCACTTGCTTATGTATATTTTTCTGTCTACATCTTATGTGACTACTTAACACTTTGAGAATCATAAAGACTACTTTTAACTTTGGAAAACTGAGTTTTTGGAAATACATATTAATCAAAGTAGTTTTACAAAAGTGTCTACTAATCAAATTATTTTTCTTATACTTATTTAGATTTATTAAGACATCAAATGTTGAAAAGAGAATCAGCTGTTGCATTTTGTCTGCATTACTCTATCAGGTAACTTTAATTATGTATGCTTTACTGTAGTAGCACAGCCATTCATTAAACCAGCAAAAAAAGATGCAATCATTTGTAATAATCTTAAAATGCATAATTAGGAAAATAGCATGAGCCTTGAAGATTCAATATCAGAAGCGCATCATTCTCCTTAGCCTGTTGAACCAGCTTTGACACCTTCCCCTTACCGTTACCGTTCAACAAAGGCTACCAGAAGATTACCAAAGAAGGGAATTTGACAGATAAGGAAACTGAACTGAGTCTTGTGTTACTAGTGAGATCACTTTGTCAGTGAGCAATGAAGTAGGTCTGTTTGACTCCAAATTGTTGACTTTAAGTTACCTCATCTCTAAATTAAGTTTTGCCTGGTTGTATGCTATAAAATGGATCACATAATGAAAAAAGAAAAAGTTAGAGACTACTGAAGTAGAGTGTTTACAGTTCTTAGGTTTTTGGTTTGACTTTACTGAAGAAGAAAGGAGCTTTTATCTGAAGTACAAGACAGTTTGAGATTCTGGGATATAGCCATGGGCCTTTGCAATCTACTAAAGGTACAGTTTACTTTGAAGGATGGACACCCTTGTTCTGTGTATCAGAGGATTCTGATTAGCTTGTGAAATCTGTAGAGTTATGTTCTCTGGGAAAGGCTTCTCTGAATATGAGGCCAGATGTTTCCATTTTCCTGTCTGTGCTTCAAACAAAAGAAGCAAAAGAAACAAGGATGTAAAAGGAATGATATTCAGGTTCTGATTCCTTATCTTAATAGTCCTTACTTTCTGCTACGTCTTATTCTTGAACATAACTCTGTTTATGCTTTACAAAATCAGTGATTTAAAAATATTTTTTATGTAATGTGGTCATAATCTCTTAGTAACATTATACCTAAAATAAAAGTTTTCTAATGGGATTTATTTCAAAAACCTGTAAATTAAAAAAATAATCATTTTAAAGCAAATTGGTAAAATTAAAAATTAAATAACTGCATAGTATTTTAAAGCAAGATACATTATAACTTTCATAAATAACTAAATTGAATTTATTTTCTGATATTTACATTAAATAACTTTGTATCTTTGACATTAAAAAGTGTTATGTAATACATTTTGAAAAATATTTCTAAATGTAAAATAGGCCTTTTGTATATTCAACTCGTTTCTCCAACATTAAGTACATATAAAATATCCAAGAATATTGGTAAAATTAAACAGATTTTCATATGATACAGTTAAAAGTTAAGCAGTACCTCTGTCTGATTTAGACTCCTTCAGAAATAAAGCCATAGCTTCTGCTTATAACTTGTTATAGTAAAAGATTTGTTGAAATTGAAATGTTTCAACAAACTGATGCAGCATCGGAGGCTCATCTGTGTCAAGAAATTTTGAAGAAAGCTACCTGGCCAACCAGTTGAAAGAGATCCATATTTGTGCCCATTCTAAAGAAAGGTGTCCCAGTGGACTGTGGACCATCAAACAATATCATTAATATTACATGCTAGTAAAATTTTGCTGAAGACACTTTAAAAACAATTGCATCATTGCATTGGCAGGGAGTTTCCAGGACTTTAAACTGGATTAAGATGATAACATGGAACTAGGTATATCATTTTTGATGTCAGATGGCATAAAGCAGAGAATACCAGAAAGATGTTTACTTGTGTTTTAGCAAAGATAGTCAACTGTGTGGATCATAACAAACTATGGATAACATTGTGAAGAATGGGTATTCCAGAATAATTAGTTGTACTCATGAGGAATCCTTGGTCTATGAACTAAGAAACAGTCATTAGAACAAAACAGTGGGCTACTGAATGGTTTAAAATCAGGAAAGGTGTGCATCAGGGTTGTATCCTTTCAGTGTACTTATTCAATCTATATGCAGAGCAAATAATCCAGGAAACTGGATTATATATTAGCATCAGGGTGGAGAAAGAGTTATTAACAATCTGCAATATGCAGATGGCACAGCCTTCCTTATTGAAAGGAGTTTAAAGAATACAGTCTTCAGTATGGCTTTTGCTTCAATGTAAAGAAAACTAAAATCCTCACAACTAGACCAATAAATAGTATCATGATAAATGGAGCTAAGATTGAAGACGTCAACAACTTAATTTCCCGGATCCACAATTAACACTCATGGAAGCAACAAGCAATGGATCAAACAATGTATTACATTAAGCGCATCTGCTGCACAGGACCTCTTTAAAGTGTTCTAGAGCAGAGATATCAGAAAACTAAGGTGGACCCGACCCTAGCCACGGTATTTTCAGTTGTTTCTTATGAATGTGAAAGTTGAGCAATAAATAAGAAAGACCATAGAATAATGGAAGCACTTGAGTTATGGTGTTGAAGAAGAATATAGACAGTACCATGGACTGCCAGAAGAACAAACAAATCTATGTTGGAATAAGTATAGCCAAAATTCTTCTTAGAAGCCAAGATGGTCAGACTTCGGACACATTATCAGGAGGGAGCAATATCTGGAGTTAACGTATCATACTTGGAAAGGTGAAGGGTCAGTGAAAAAAAAAAAGGAAGGCACACCCTCCAACAAGATGGCCTTACACAGTGGTAGAACAATGGGCTCAAACATAACAATTGTGGGGTTGGCACAGGACTATGTAGTATTTCATTATGTTGTGCATAGGACCACTGAGTGGGAACTAACTCGACAGCATCTAACAACATCGAAAGGAAGAAGGCTTAATGGCACAGTGGTTAAATCCTTGGCTGCTAACCAAAAGATGGGTGATTCATAGTGCTCCACAGGAGAACTATGTGGCATTCTACTTCCATAAAGACTTCCACCTTGGAAAGCCTGTGGATTAGCTGTACTCTAGCCTGGAAGGTTGCTGTTAGTTTGAATCTACTTGGTGGCAATGGATTTATTTCCACCACCCCACCACCCCTTTGGTTATGTTGTTGTTAAGTGCCGTCGAGTCGGTTTCGACCCATAGTGACCCTGAACAGGGTTTCTGAGGCTGTAAATCTTTACGGGAGCAGATCGCCTCATCTTTCTCCCACGGAGCAGCTGGTAGTTTCGAACTGCGGACCTTGCGGTTCGCAGCCCGATTCGTAACCACTACGCTACCAGAGCTCCTTTGGTTATAGTGGAAAGGAAATCGATTTTTTAGTTAAGTAGACATGACTTTACATCTTCTTTCTGCCATCATTAACTGAGTTACCTTTGTTAGTGTTGGTGTTGGATGCCACCAAGTCAGTTCCAACTTATAGCTAGCTTATGCACAGCAGAACGAAACACTGCCTGGTCTTGTGCCAGCTTCATAATTGTCGTTACCCTTAAACCCATTCTTCCTCTTTACTGATCCTCCACTTTACAAAGTATGATGTCTGTCTCTAGGGACTGGTTCCTCCTGAAGCATGTCCAAAGTATGAGAAACAAAGTCTCATCATCCGGTCTTATAAGGAGCATTCTGGCTGTACATCTTTCAACACAGAATTGTTTGTTTTTCTGGCAGTCCGTGGTACTTTTAATATTCTTCTCCAATGCCAGAACTCAAATGCATTGATACTTAGTCATTGCCCAACTTTCACATGCATATGAGGCTATTGAAAATCCCCTACCTTGGGATAGGCACACCTTAGTCTTCAAACTGATATCTTTGCTCTTGAACACTTTGAGGAGGTCTTGTGCAGCAGATATGCCTGATGTAATGTCTTGTGTGACCTTTGGTAAATTAATTTTATAAGCTCTGATTATATCATTTGTGAGATAATAATTCTTACATGCTAGGAATGGGTTAATGAGGAATAAATAAGAGAATGTTTATAAGGAACCTACTAACGGTGCCCAATACAAAACTGACCCTCAGCAAGTAATGATACAATAATTTCTCTTGAAAATATTGATAACTTAATAAAATAGTACTTTCTTGTGAAAAAAAATAAATAAGGAGCTCTAGTAGCATAGTGGTTATGAATTGGGCTGCCAACCTCAAGGTCAGCAGTTCGAAACTACCAGTGGTTCCACGGGAGAAAGATGAGGCGTTCTGCTCCCGTAAAGATTTACAGCCTCGGAAACCCTGTGCAGGGTTGCTATGAGTTGGAACCCACTCCACGGTACTACTTAAAGACAACAATTTGTGAAAATAGTGTCATCAGCTATCATGGCATTCACAAGGCTCATCTAGATATATACATTTTTGAATCTAAAATGATGACTAGTAATGATAAAACCAGTTGCTATCAAGTTGATTTTAACTCCTGGTGACGTCCTCCAAAGGGTTTTCAGAAATAGATCACCAGACCTTTCTTTCACGTCTCTGGGTGTACTTGAACCTCCAACCTTTTGGTTAGCAACTGCAGCACCTTGGATTTACTTGATATGGCTTTTCTATCCAATATCTTAACTCTCACCAAGAGATTAGGTGGGATCATGAAAATAATTTGTATAGGACGCTAAGGCTGGGATTGGTTAGTTTTGCCATACAACTAGGTTTAAAAGCCATCTCAGAAGTAGGCACAGAAGATCCCAGGACCATCAAGAAGGAAGAGTATGAGTGGAGCATGAGATCCCTACTAGGAAAAGCAGTGATAGCAGAGGTGATGGCAGAGGCCATGGCAGAGACGGTGGCATGGAGAGACAGAGCAGCTTCAGGCTCTAGGCCCATGGACTGAGATAGAGACCAAAGGGCCAAAAAGTGAGAGGCTAAAGACAAAAGTGAAGTGTGCCTGCAGTATGGCAGACAAGCAGTGTTCCTGATTGGAGAACTGCTCTTCTTGAGTTGGTTTTGATCCTGAATTGTACCCTAGTCACTTCCCTAATAAGTCCCATAATCATGAGCATTGTTCTGAGTTCTGTATGATCATTGCAGTCTATTATCACACCTAGTGGTGAAGCCGAGAGTGCTATGGGAGGGATGGTTGATGTCAGAATAGGGTCAAGAAGGGTGTAGGGTAGAAGCACCTCTGACCTCTACTTCATAGGAATCAGCCTTGGGCGGATTTTGAGTTTTATTTTATTTCCCTCTCGTGACCACAAGGGAAGTCAGATATGGTGCCCACATGAGCGTTAATCATTTGCAACACCTACAGGCGTGCTAGGTATGTGCTAGGCACTTTAGGAAGTAAACCATGTGCTTATTATGTTGATCTATTGATGCAAATGCAATTTGATAGCTATTCACCTTTTTTTCATTTTCAGGGTTTGCTGAGAACAACCCTTCCACATCCTAAAATTGAGCGTTGTTATGCTCAGTATGAAATCACTCAGCTTCTTCCAGGCATTGAGCTCTTCTCAGATAGATACCGGGCTGACATTTGCTCTGTAGTTGCAAGTCTTTACTATGTTATACGGGAGCTGCACTTTGCTAAGCAAAATCTACTTGTGAGTAATTTTTAAAATCACCTAGTTTTAATTCATTGTGGTATTTTTGCTCCACATACCTTACTTAGACTTTTTAGATTTTACTAATTTTGGGGGGCCAGTTCTTGTTTAATTTAAACCTTTAGAATTATTTGCTGTATTTAGAAATAAAGTATACTAATCAATATATTATGTTTTATTTATATTACATTTTGCATTACATTTTGGATTAAAATATGTATTTGATTTTGCTCTCTTTGTTTACTCTATTATTTTAGATCCTCTCTCCCCCTTTTAAAAATTGGTGAGATTTATTAGAATGTGTCAGTAATCTCAAATGTAGTAACTTAGTGTACATTGTAGCTCATGGCATTAACTCAGTTAATTCATATCAGTTTGGATTTTGTTACTGTTTTTGCTTTTGTTTAGTTTCTTTTTTGTTGAAATAAGTTTATCTTTGTGCCTCTTATTTCCTCCCTATTGAGAGTACATCCAAATTAATAACAAATTCTGTGAAGTAGAAGACAGAAATTTCTTTATGTCGTAGGAAAGCAAAAACCGCAATACAAGGCTCTTTGCTTTAGAGTAAAAACAAAAAAATCGCAGTATATGTATATCATACTTTAAGCTAGGTTCTATTTTAAAAGTAAATTAGAACTTTTTAAAATTCTTGGTTATTTAATATATTCCTCCTTTATCGTGTGTCTCTTATTTTCCTCCTTTATGCTAGTTCTATTTTGTAATACCTCTTTATCATTGTTTGTCTTCATTTGTTTCAATTCCTGTTTTTTTTTTTTCTACTTTTATTCTCTTAATAGTTTTCATAGCCAGCATGGTGCATAACCACAACTTATCTGGTTGTTGTTCTGTGATGGCATCCTTGTTGCTGTGATACTGGAAGCTATGCCACCAGGATTTTAAATACCAGCTAGGTGACCCATGGTGGACAGGTTTCAGATGAGCTTCCAGACTAAGACAAACTAGGAAGAAGGAGCGGCAGACTACTTGTGAATGTGTAACCACTGAAAACTATGAAATCAGTGGAATATTGTCAGATATGCTGCTGGAAGGTGAAAACATTATGAATAGCAGTAGAGCATTGTCAGATATAGTGCTGGAAGATGAGTCTCATCAGGTTGGAAGGAAGTCAAAATATGACTGGGGCTGTGCTGCCTCTTCAAAGTAGACTTGACAATAAAGATGGGAATGGAGTAAACCTTTTGGGACTTCCATTTGTTGATGTTTGTTTTTGTTGGCAAACAACACAAAATAAGAAGAAAGACCTGCAAAAATCCATTCATAATGGGAACATGAAATCTACAGAGATGAATCTAGGGAAATTGGAAGTTGTCAAAAATAAAACGGAATTTTGTAAGACCAATGACTTATTCATTGCAAAAATCTTGAGGAGCTCTGTCAGCAACAACACAGAATACCAGACCAAGCAGGCTCAGGGGATGGTGCTAGAACTCTGAACCACATATAAAGGAACATTTAGAAGCTTGGAAGGCTTACAGCTAGGAGAATTTGTAGCAGAATCAAGACATCCATTGCTTTCTAAGTCAAAATGCTTAGCTGCTCCTGGAGCCGCATTCTTGGGAGAGACCAAGTGGGGGAAGGATCAGAACAGCCATGAATGCCTGACAGAACCGCAGAGATACAGGTGTGGACAT